ATTTTCTATCTGTTTCAGGATCCATATTTTATTTGCATGCCCACCTGTATTTTAGTTTTCTTTTAAATTCCAAATTTCACTGCCTACCACTTACCAGAGGGAAACCTTTCTCGAGTCCAAACTTCTTTGTTCTGTCTTGTAAGGGATCTAGCACTGACACAAGCAGCCTGTATTACCTACTAATCCTTGTGGTTTACAGTCCTTAGTAACTTAGACAAAAACTTCTTCAGCTGGCAATGCCTGAAGCAAAAGAGCTGTGTGCTTCAGCAGGAGGCCTGGGGCTGCAGAGCTACAGCCAAGAGAACTCACAGTAAGTTTTTTCTCCTTTCCTGCAGTGAATTATTATCACTGAGTGAAGCACTGTGGAAGATTCCATGAACTTCCTTAGCTACAAACTAGTGGCTCTGCAGTTATAAAATAAATCTCCATTCTTTCACATGTCTTTAACCCTCATCTCCTTTAAATCTGCCATTCCTCACGGCAGCAGCAGCATTTGACAGCATTGTGACATCTTTATGAGCATAACAGTGACATTAGCAATAAACCAACCTGTAACTGACCAGCTCTCTCAGCTCATTGATTCACTTGTACACCACAATTAAAAGTTTATTTTTTAAACTAAACTGTATTCAGAACAGTTGTTTTCCTAAAATCAGGCTGCTGTTTTTATTAAGGCATATAGACACTTCCATATACACCATCAATATATTACAAATTTGAACAGAAAGCAAGTAATCTCAACAAGCATAATTAAATTTTCCCAGGCAACTAATGCCATAAAGGATGCTTAAGAATAATCATCATAAACCATTCAGGTTACGTGGTTCAAAAGTAGCCCAACTTAGTAAGTATTCTTCTACACACAGAGAGATTAAAACAGTTTATGTGATTCAAAATACATAACCCACTGCAGCAATCTGCTGTGAATTTACTTGTCAAGAAGATACAGAATGTATCTCAGATTCCAACACGTTCCTGATGCTGATCTGAATAAATGTGATTGCATACACAGACTGACTAAGGAGATAAACCATGACTTAATCAGTGCTCCCAAGTTATTAAAAACAACTAATCGTGCCAAATCAGGCAAGTTTGAGGACGATGAATATTTATAAGGCTTCGTCATGTAGTTCATTTTGAAGAAATTCTGAAGTCTAACTACAAGAAAGCATTTTCAGAACCTTAGCCTCCAGCTTTCTGCCAGGTCTGGAACCCACAGAAAACTCCCTCTTAATGACAGCAGCCAGGGCAGATGCTGCCTTCCTTGCTCTTCTTCTCAGAAGGGTCCATATCTTCTGCAGCTTCTATGTTACATCCATAAGGCTCAGTCTGCTACAGATTTCATTGCCAGGTGGCTGTAAAACTGGGCATGATTACCAGCAGCATTAATGAGATGACAGCACATTGGGAACTTGGCAAAATCAAGGACCATGGTAGTTTCACCTGTACAATTCAGGCCTGAACAGCAAAACATCATGTTTTCAGCAGCCTTGGCTTGGTGAAACAGGATGGGCTCAAGATACCAAAGCTAACTCAGTGCCTTAAAATTATATTCCTTTGCTTGAACATTTTATGGTTTCCAAAGGTTAAAAAAAGAAAAAATAAATAAAAATGAAAAAGGCAGAACGTTATACAGTCTGCCAGCAGACACAGCAGTAAAGGATAACCATTTTTTTCCTAAACTTCTAAATCACTTTAGCTTACATTCTCTCTCTTTAAAAATTCCCCGCAAAGAATTCATTAAACATCTTCCAGGATAAAAAAATATTTTATCCAGGTTCAAATGAAACAATCATTTCCCCAGTATTTGTTGCTTCAATTAGGCAATATCAAATTCTAATGCTTGAACAATACAGTGGGTGTTTTGTTTTTTTTTTTGTTTTGTTTTTAAACATTTAAGCAAAATTATCTGGGGTTTTGGTCTTCAGACAATTATAACGATACAGATTCTTCAGAATGACTTCCTACGTCTGGCACAGTATTTTACATTGCATCATTATACGCATCAGCCTCAAATCACATGCTAAGAACAAGACTGATAACAGTTTCCATGTCATATGCTTATGTACTTGAAAAGTGTATTTTACTTTCTTCAGAAACATTCACATGAATTCATTTCATTGTGCTATGCATCAAATCCCCACAAGCCAGCAGGATTCCCCTTCACCCTTCCTCCCTTCCTGACATTTCCCACCATTCCAGGGCATGATCCACAGCTACAGGGCAGCAGCAGTGCCAGCACAGCCCTGCATGTGCCAGGAGAGACTGCTGTGCTTTATTCTAGAATGGATTGGGATGTGTACTTCATACATTTTGTCAGCAACTAACACATCAGATTGTCCAAGACTGTCTGTAAAGCCAACTCACCTAACACTTTATGCAACCATCTGTTTCAAACCCTCAAACTTAAAAACTTGTGAGGTCTGAAGAAAAAAAACAATATATATATATATATATATATATATATAAAAAGACTAAAACTTTCCTTACACTGCACAACAGAAGTGCATTGAAAGATATAAGAACTGGCAAGAAAAACTGATCTAGCAACAAAACCACAAAGAACTTTGGGATTTGGTATCATGAACAGCACTGTAATCCCCTGTTAAAAACAACTGCTTACTTAACACTAGAGCTTTGACAGAACCAACAGAGCTATAACAATGAGCAGTGTCCTGTGGTGTTTCAGCAAAGGAATTCCAGATTGTTTACCTATTTTTGTTCTAATTTTTATGATTTTAGACAATTCAGTTCAAGTTCTACTGCTAACACCCTGAATAAATCTTCAACTTAGAGCAATTTTTTCCATTTCAATCTTTCAGACAAGATACAGTTCTGACTCATTCTAAAAACAACTTGCAGAAGGTCAGGCCTTCTAAATAGAGAGCTACAGTGAATCAACTTTTGAACAAGCCTCAACAAAAATCACCTGACCGAAAATATACAGCCCTACATCATTGTAGGCATAGTACAATTAAATTAATTCCTCTTCAGACATTCTCATTACAAAGAGTCCTTCTGCTATCTTGTTAGAAAGACCAACATTATGAAAGTACCCAATACGATAGAATTAATATATCACAAAAATCAACCCAATATGACTTCCCAAATGCTCTGATAGTATTTTTAGTAAATGACTTCAGTGAGCAACCATCACCTGCAGTGACCCCTAACCATGTGCTAACACCTTCCAGCTCACTGAAACGCTAGAGGTAAGGAACCTTTTTCCCTCTTCCCTCCTTCTCTGGAGGTAGCAGAGCAGGGAACTACTACTGTGTTCACATGCAATATGAGGTGTATTGCTGACACTCTGATAAAGTTCCTGAACATAGGGACTCTGCCACAGTCTTACACACATGTAAATACACTTGTAGGGACATCCCAACACCAGTATAATTTGCTCTTTAATTGAGGCTAAAGCAGCTAATTCCAACGCTGTATGCAAGATGAGAAGAGATAAGGCGGCCTAACTTGGAAATTATCCCCGTTACTCAATTATTAAAATATATCTGTTACCAGAGTCTTAATTTTCACAAGTTCTCCATCTTTAAAAAACAACAACAACAACAACAAACTATGTGAAGTACTAAGCCTCCTCTGCCCCCTCTCATTTCATTATCATTTATCTAGATCCTAATCCACAATCAAATGGATGATTAATTCATGGTTGTAGGCAGTATGAAAACACAACAGGCCTACTCACACACACCAAAATCTAAATACTCTATACATTCAAACACTCCAAGAGAAGTAATCCAGCAGAAGGAACGACAGCAGCAGCTCAGAGCACACACTGTGGATTACCTTCACAGCAGCCAACAGACAGGGTACATTCATGTCGTGGTGCACACAGCAATCACAAACAATAACGGTGCGCCCAAAGTTTGCCACACGAGCAGTTGACAGCATGAGTCATCATAAGTCATTTGTTTTCCCAAAGAAAAGAAAAGCTACTTTGCCGTCTTACTTTTGTGCCGTTAAACATAGCTTTGGCCATCAGGGTAACGGGCACAGCACCTACAGAAGGAAGAGAACAAAGTTCCCCTCTCCTTCCTGTCAACTTTGGATAACTCGGAGCAATGTTATTTCTGTCCCGTTTGGGATTTTACGCTTCAGGAGAGCAGGGCGAGCTAAGCAACATCAGAACTCCTTTTTAAAAGGAAAATGAAGGCAAAAAAACGCAACAACAATCAACGACCAGTAAGCCCACCAGGCACGCAAAGGAGTTCTTCGCGCAAAGGACGCCCACCCTGCTGGTACCGGCGGCGCAGAGCAGGGCACACGCAGGCCGCCCGCCCCCCGCTCCCCTTACGGTTTCCTCACGGCCCCGCGTTCCGGACTGCCCTCGTTCCCCACAGAGCCGGGGCCGCCCCGGCCGCACAGCGCGCCTCCGCCCCGGCCCTCACACAACGTGGGGGTTGCAGGCGGATCTCCGGCCCCTCACGGCAGCGCCGTTTCCCCTCCGCCCGGCTCCCCCGCCTCACGCGCACGCACCGTACCCGAGAAAGCCGCGCCGAGGGGCGAACTGCGAGGCCGGGGCGGCCCAAGGACGCGCGCAGCCCAGCAGAGCCCGCCTCAGTTCAGGGAGCAGCCGCTGCCGCATATCCCAGCCCCGCCGCCCGCGCCCGGCTTCTCCCCGCCGCACGGCCCAGCCCGGTCCCGTTCAGCAGACGCCGCTCCTCAGCTCAGCTCAGCGCCGCGGTCGGCGGCGGCGCCATCTTCTCCGCCCGCCTCCCCTCCCAGCCCGGCCAATCCCTCCCCGGCGCCCTCGGGGTCCCGTCCGCCCTCCTCGCCCGGCGGGCCCGCTTTCACCGCGCCGGGCCTAACGGGGCCCGTACCTGGGGGCACCTCGGGCTGCCTCTGCTGCCGGCGGGGCGGGGGCTGCGGCTGGGGAGGGGGCGGGGGGCCTCTGGGAGGAGGCGGAGGCGGCAGAGGGGGTGGGTGGCTGGGCGGGGAGCCGGGGCGACACTCGTTGTGGCGGGTAGGCCCCCGAGCCGCGCCCGGCGGAGGCAGACGGAGCGAAGGGCAGCGGGAGCACTCCGCCGCCGCCTTGAGGGACCGCGCAGGGCCCGGCCGTTTCCCTGCTGGCGAAAGCCGAGACAAAAGGTAATTGGATGCCTCTTAATTTGAGTTCGGTGCCGCCCTGAGCGGCTGAGATTTCAGTTCTCGTCGTGGAGCCGGTGTCTGAACCCTCCCTGCCCGCGGGGAGAGGAATTAAACTTTGGGAGCGATCCTGTAGCAGCCGCGTGGCCTCCGCGCACCGCCCGTGAGCTGCGGGTTGCCTCAGAACGTGCGAGTGTTGGGCTGGATCAGCTGCTGCTGTAACTGTGGGCCTCCGGATTTCTGGGGAGATATTTCGTTCTTCTGTTGGTATACTTGCCTGTGGGAAGGTGGTGGTTGTGGCTGGCTACTTAAATTCATTTTTAGGAAAAAAACGCTAAAAATATCACCACAACACCTGTTTGTGTTTCTAATAACTTGCTTTCTTCAGATGTAGCTTGTTTCGACTGTCCTATTTCACAAAACTTAAAAATACTGAAAATATCTCAATTTGTTACATTTGGCGCCCACTTTTAGTCCGTGTCCTTACAGGCGGTAGGTCACAGCTGGAAGCGCTTCGCAGGACCCTGCTGTCCTTCAGAACCCAGTGACTCAGCTCAGACTATTCCTGTATCCATAGATGGGAGTGAGATGTATCTGATGGAGCTTTAAACCTGTTGTCTTTGGTCAAATTAGCTGTTTAGAATGGGAGCATGGTACTCCAGATGGTCAACAAAATCTGTCAGGAAGTTTTGGTAGACATTCAGCTGCTGGTTCCCATTGAAGCCTGGGCTGCTATAGAGACGTTCCTATCTGTACCTGAGCTTCCTAATTTAAAGTAGTCATGTCTGTATCAAGCACACCCACACTCTGGTCTCAGTTTAGATACAGAACTGTCTCACAAGTTAACTAAACCTGGTTAGAGCAAAGCAATACTCTTTGCCTAAATTAACTGGTTGGATTTAGAATTGTGTGGGAGCCTAGTTTTAACACAACATGGTACATCATGGAAAAAGGAAGTGTCACGTTGTCCTCATAAGATTCTAGTTTGAGGTAATCTGCTTTTATTCCATTTCCTAGTGTATGTAAAAGAGAAGATAAGGACAGAGGGAAAAAGGAAAGGATAAGTGATGAGATCTTTAATCTTAATTCTATCCTATCACCGTTGCCTGTGCATCAGAAAGGGTAATACTGCCAACTGATTGCTTTTTAGTGATAGATCTGCTTTCTTCCTGAAGCAACCAGGGGATTAAAAGGTTGGGATTTGGAGTAGAAGAAATGCTTCTGCCTCTTTTGCTATTAAAAGTTGTAGATGGGTCGTATCAGCTCTCATGTGAAAGATGCAAAAATGTACAAGCGGTTTTTTCCTTTTTCAGGTCCTAAAGAATTTTCTACCCTAATGCACCCTGTTTTTTTCAGCTGTTAGTTGCTCTGATAAATACTACCTTTCTCTATAGATCTTGCCTAAGCTATGTATATATACGTCAACAGTTTAAGAACTGGTTCAGCCCGGTTCTGTGATTAATGGGGTGGTGGGACATATGGACCCATGCCCCGGGAAAAGGGAATGGGAAAAAGGGTAGTGAGATAGGCCTAAAAACAAAACAGTGGCAACAATCTGAGGAGGAAGGCTAATTTACTAAAAAAGATATCAGAATGCAAAATAACGCAATATAATACAGTATAATTGGAATTGAAGCTAATAAATCAAATAAAATGAGAGTGTACAAAAACCAAAGGCTTTACTCTAATGCTGAAGGCAAGATGTCTAGCCGGGCAAAAGAGAGAGACATCTTGTGATCTGCAAACAGTTCTATCTTTCCCTCTGAGTGGAAAACAGAAACAAAACAACGCAAAGCCCTCTGTGGTATGTAGTATGTTGTTTTGTTCTCTTCTGAAAGCCAAGTACCTGGAGCTACCCATGGACCTGGAGCATTAACTCTTTAACTCCCAGTGCACTACATGATGTTATGATGTGGAATACCGATAACCAAAAATCATAAAACCATGGAACTTACTACATCAGCAGAACTGTGGGATTTTGGGAGTAGTCGCAACTAGAGCGAGGGCTTCTCCTTGTGTAGCTGTGATGATGAAAGATCACATCTTCACACGTCAAACACAATATAGTTCACACCTACTATTCTTTACACCTGTCTTACTGACTCTATTCCCTGTTTAGAGGCCATGCTGTTGCACTGATATTTATTTGGAATGCATATTATTATAATTAACTACTCTCTGTTTCAGTTTATATACTAACCAGAAACCACCTTTATCCAAAATTTGGACATATTTTGCATGTTTTTCAAGAATTTTTAATATAATGCTATTAGCAAAAGTGAAGAACTTTCTCTATTAAACAGCCCAGCTGTTTAATTTTTTTTTCCTTATAGGACTTTAATTGCTTCAAGGCAGTTGGTGCTGATTTTCTTATCGGCTCTAGAGAAAAAAAAGCGTTGTCAAAAACGATTAGGACTTAAGATTTGGAGTCACTATGGAAATTGTCAAAAATTCCCATGAAGAAGCCTCATAAAGAAGCAGATCTCTCTTCAGGATATGTGACATGGCTGTACAGTGCAAGAAGAGCAATAATCCTAAAGGTAGTCAGGTTCAAAACTGTCTAGATAAACAGGTATTTTCTATTCCTGTTGAAAACTGAGGGAACAAATGTTAAACTCCAATTACAGTCTTGTCATGTTTCTAATAGAAGCTCATTTTTCCACCTACCTAAAATTCTGGAGTCAAGTAAAATTGCAGTTGGATTTCTGTGGGTTGCTCCAAAAGTAATGCCTCCTATTTACTTCCATGAAAACTACAACAGCTATAAAGAGCACAGTAACACTATACGACAGTGCAAATGCTCAGCTATAAAACTATTTTTTTCAACATAGTCACCACCATTAGTTATGCATTTTTGTCAGCAATGAACAAGAGCCCGCATGCTATCCTCATAAAAATCTGTACCAGTGGAGGTGACCACTGCTACCAATGCTAAAGTGCACCACCCACCATCTCGTTGTTTGATCTCTGTACAATGTTCAGCAGGTGCTGATGAATGTCAATGGGTGCCACTGTTTCCACATGGAGAAATTCAGTGACACACCCATGCTTCATGCACACTTTTTTGTCTGACGCCACTGTGTCAGACTGCCCCTCTGCTGCCATCTGTCACATGGCAACAAAACATAAAGAATATTGGTGGGAAGGTTCAACCACTACTTCTATACCACCAACATCTGCTTCTGACACTGTGGGCCAACAGAACAAGAGGCATTACTTCTGGAGCAGCTCTTATAAAATGCCTCTGAAGAAATCTGGCCTCAGGCTGAAAAAAATCCCAAAGGTTATGGTTATTTCCACGCTAAAATAAATAGAGATAGCTTCATAACAAGGTGTAGGTGTAAAAAGCATTATTGATCACTGCTGGAATATGTTTAGCCACAACACCTGTGCATATAACTGTAAATTCCCTAACAAAACCTTTTTACATCAGAGAAGTCGTGTATAAATGTGATACATTGAACTGCAATTATGTTACAATACTCAGGTACATTTTCTTAGAAAATTGAGATTAGACGTACTAAATATCTCCCATATCTTTATTTAAAAAAAATTGTTTTTCTCCAATGGTTTGTTAACAGAAGCATTTAATGCCTGTAATTGTACAGGTATTGTTTAACAGGTATAATTTCATCTGTTGAGAGACCTATTTTCATATGTTTAGACACTGAAGAAAAGGATTGTCTGTAGGAAGGTCAGACATTTTTATGCCAGTACAATTCAATTTTCTCTGTTAAACTTTCTTAATCTCCCAAACTTCACAGCTAAATAGAATAATTATAGTTGCACAAACAGCTGTCAGAAGCTTAATGTTCTATATGAGCTTAATGTTCTATATGACCACTCTTCACCAGTTTCAGTGATACAGGTATGTATAAACATCTTTCTTAGTATATGATACATTTATTTGTATATTCAGGACAGCTTTCCTATTTAAAATAATATTCACTGATGCCTTGACACATTTCTGTTTTTCAACTTGTTTTGTTTCTGGGGTTTTCCTAATAAGTTTTGGTGTAAGTGTAATTTGTAATGTAATCTGATGCTCCATAACTTCTTGTTTTATTATTTGTTTCAGACACAGAAGGGAAAAAAAAAAGATGTTCTTTACTCTGTGCGACGCATACTTAAATGCAGTCACTGAGATACAACAGTCTCATGTAATGGAAAGATACCATAATATTCCTGACGAAGGATGCTTCTCTGTTTTCTGCACCAAGTTTAAAAACAATGAAATGAATAAAATGAATTAATATTTTGAAATATGAAATTCAGAAAATAATGAGAAGTTGAGGAGACACTTCTTTTTGACTTCAGTAGGTCCTATTAAACCTATGTTTGCAGTTTTCCCATCCATTTTTTTTTAATGTAAAAATATCATCTAGCTGCATGTCCTAATTGAGAATAAGTAAGTATAAGGAGAAAGTTTAGCTTTGCTCTGAAGTGATTATACAAATGCATGTGATCCTGTAGGTATGGTGTTGATTTTTTTTATGTTGCCTCTAACAAGTTTAGAAGTCCCACCACCCAACAGTGCGTGATCTGGCACATACATATGAAAAAGAGACCTTTATTCTGTGTACTTTCTCTGATTATTTGTAACCAATTCTCTTTTTACTGATGTTGCAAATGCATTAAGTCCTTAAATGTTTACAATGAGGTATTTAGTTTATCACATCTTATCTTCCATTTATACCAGTGAAACAGCTTTTTTTTATTACCGTGACTGAAGGAAACTGCTGTCCTCAGCATGAAATACACCAGCACAGTGTGTAAGTTTTTATTGTTCAACTTTCTATATGTGGAAAACAAAGAGTTCAGAATTTTGCTGGCCAGCTGGGCTGGTTGTTCAAGAGGTGGAGATTGTGTTACGTAAATCTGAGTTACGGGTCATCTCCTCTTTAATGTCATACAATTAATCAGTACATTTTATTCTGTGTTACTGGTAATATTAAACAGGATGTGACCAAAACTATCTCTTTTTACTAAACGTTGTTGGAGTTAAACTTGCTGCTAATTCTTCAGCGGTGATTGCATGTGGAGACCCTTCTGTAGCCTATTTCAGCTTATATGATGTGTACCATATTGGTAGCTAAAAGAGGTTTTGTTGAGCCTTGAAGAAGTCTTGGCCAAGCTTATAATTATATCTCTCCATTATTATCACTTTCCTAATTCTTAGCTAATCATGTTTTAGTGTCAACAATTCTATTTGCCAAGCCTCCATACGTATAATTATCCAGGTCATCTGATTTGATTTATTGAGTTAGTTTTGAAACATTCATATATAAAACATGGGCTTGTTTTCAAGGTTTATTGAAAATTTTTTATCAATAAGTAGGGATTAGTAATCTCTACTGAAATTGTTACGGCAGATGTGTGTATTGCTATGTGGATTATTTTTCTGTAAGGCTTTTTGTCTTTTCCTAAAAAGAAAAAAATAAAACATTTCTCACAGTACAGTGTACATGCATTCCTAAAGGTTGTTCTCCTAACTACTGTTTAGACTATCCTAAATATTCTTCTTTCTTTCTCATGTTTACTTTTATTGCTCGTGAAATGCCAGCTCCCTGTTACTCAGTTTGTGTTTATTGTATTAGGGTCAACCTAATCTCAGGAAATGTATGACCATTGTGCTATCCATCGACTAGGTATGACAGAGATACAGCTATTAAACTGCAATTGTTAAGCTACCTTGATTACCAGAAGTTTCTGCTTTCCATTTACCACAGATTTAGCTCCTAGTAATTAGATTGATTCCTGTTATTTAAATGCAAGTTTGTATGATCTCTTGTATGTTAATGACAGATGTGTTCACATTTTAAGCAAAATTCTGACTAATGCAGATCATACTTTCATACTAGAAAAGAACAGAGAGGCAGAAATGAGATGAAAAGACATCTTGTCTGTCAGTGCTGCCTTCTTGTCTATGATCTGTATGAGGGAGGAGAGAGCAAAAAGTAAAGTTTCAGAATGTTTACATAACCTGCATTCAGCTTGTCCAGTCTAACAGAAACTCCAGTACAACTGTAAGTATGATTTATTTTTCACTCCTAGCACACAAATAATAATAATAATAAAAAAAAAAGTAAGAATGATTGTGGTCTCAATTTGCAATTGCTGTTGCTTTTGTATTAATTTTCCTACTTAGTTAAATTTTAACTGAAACAAAATGTATTATTGTGATTTTAGTGTTTCATTAGAGGCCCATAGATTTTTAAGTGTTTCATCAACCCACCAAAGTCATTGTGGTTGCAAAGATAGGCTTCAACACTGGTAGAAATCATAGATTCTGTACTTTTCTGTGCTTATGAATTAAAAGATTTTTTTTTTGTTGTTACAAGCATTTGCTTGGATTCATTGCCTTATTTTCTGGGGTAGAGCCCAAACAATTTAAATGGGTATTGAAAGGCAGCAGTTCATCTGGTGGTTACAAACCTGTAAACGTTTGTTCTTGCAAAGTAATTCTATTTTCATGTAGTATATATATTCTATGTAGTATTTGCTATTTATTATATTTGCTTTATTTCATATGTATTATTGCTACATATATGTTGGTATTGTTTTCAGTGGCATAAAATCAGTAAGGTCTTATGTGGAACAAAGAACGGGCAGTGGGTGAGAGAGGCTGCTAATGAACATTGCTATTAAGCACTGAAGATTTCCTAGCTGTTATCCTGCCTCATCCTCAGCCCGTATTTAATGTCAGACACATCTCGTGTTCTCTGAATGAATGCCTGCTTCCAGCACACCAAGAACCAGCACCTCGTGTCCTTCCCCGTTACGTCTGCGATGAAAGTGATGAGCTCTGACATTGCTCTAACTTTGGAGGTAAATGGTGAAGGAGCACCACGTGCTGCTGCTTCGTGGCACTGTCACAAAAAGGACCACAAGCCTTGCAGGCTGGGATTCAGAGCCCATGGAGGAGGTATAAGTTTCAAAGCATCCATTTAAAAAAAATAAGGGGTGGGGAAGGAACCTGTGGAATTATAGGTGGTAATCCTATTTTGGGTAACTGGAAAGGCCCTAAAACAGCAACTAAAAGCACCGCAGTAGATAACGCTATGCACACGTGTAAGGATCCCATATGGACTCTTGAGAGCAAACCGTCCCGGACCGATTATATCTCCGGTGGCAGCCGCTCCTCCCCTGTGCCGCAGGACCTGCCCGCAGTCAAGGCCACACTCGGCGAAACGCTCCCCGCTGCCCCGCAGCGGGGCAGAGCGGTGCGCTCTCAGGCCCGCTCTCTGGCGCCCCCTCCCGGCTCGGTTTCGGGGCGGGGCCTCGGGGGGGATGCGCAAGCCGCCATTTTCCTGTCACGTGGTGCCCCGCCGGCACTACAGTTCCCGGCATGCACAGCGCTTACGGCAGGATCGGCCGCTTCCGCCGTGCCTTTCTCGTCGTCACCCGAAATTTGAAAGCAGGTCCCATGGTGCCCCGCGGGCGCCCGCTGATTGGTCGGGCGGCAGCGCCGCGCGGTTCGAAGGTGGCGGCGGCGGCGGCAGGCGCTCGCAGGCGTTGGGCTGGTTCCGAGTCTCGGCTTCAGCTTGAGCCGCGCCCGTGCAGCGCGGCCGGTGCCTCTACCGTCGTCCTCGGCTCCCTCGCGTCCGAGTGCGCCATGGCCTCCCTCAGCTTCCAGAGCGGCGGCGGCTCGAAGAAGGAGAAGGAGGAGAAGGGCAAGAACATCCAGGTGGTGGTGCGCTGCAGGTAGGCGCTGCGAGCCCTGGGCTCGAGGAAGGGGAGCTGTGCGGGGTGTGCTGCTGCCGGGGGGCGCTCCGGGCTGCGGGGCGCGGGCGGGTCGGCGCTGCTCCGGGTTGAGCTGCGGGTCCGTGCAGGATGGGTCGGCGTCTGCTGAGCGGTGACTATTCGGTGCGAGGCTGTGTAGGACGGGTAAGGGGAGCTGAACGAGAGGTAGCGTAGGTAATGATACCGTGCTCTAAATTGCCTTCGCGAGGTTTCTTTGTGCCAGTACGGACGCCGGCTTACCAAGTTGTTACTGGTGGGAGGTTGTACTTTAACAAACCCACGCTGAAAATAACCATTAAAAGCAGCGTTCGCTTTTATTCTTTCAATGTTAGTAAGAAGGTGCTGGAATGGGCGTTAGGAGGCTGGGTGTAAGTGTTGGTGAAAGGCGAGAATGTTGCAAAAGACGATTTTGGAGCAGTTGTATTTGAAACACTGTTGAGCAATTGGCTTCTTTTCCATCTGTCCAGTGCTGCACCGTTGTGCTGCAGCCTGGCTGTGTAGTGGTGTCTATTCGATTAAGATTGTGTTCTGCAATACAGCAGCATCAGGATTGTATGTGGAGCAGTGTTTTGCTTTTGTTGTGACTGATACTTTGGAGCAGCAAAAGCTCCTTCCCGTTCCCTTCTGCAGCATTCGAGTTCTCACTTTGTAGATCAATGGATGCAATTGTTTCAGTGGCCCCTGATTTGCTTCTGAAGCCTGATGATTCAAAAACTTCAAGCCACACATTCACCATGTTTCAATAAAATATGAGTTTGGAGCTTCTGAATGTGTACGCTACTGTGTGTTTAAAGGTCCCTTGCAACTTGTTTTCTATTATTCTGTTATATATTAATGTCCTTTTGATAACTTAAGGGAATGAATGTGTCACCAAATGCTATCGCTGCGTGCCAAGTTGCTGCTTGCCTAGTGGCACTTGCTCTAGTTTAACTGAATTGCCCCTTTATCATGAGGTGACTATAAGGCCATTTCTTTGATTCTCTGGTCTGCATTCATCTGGTTCTCTGTTTTGTTGCTGCAAAGAAGACTACAGTTACTGTTCAGCTTCTTGCGATTTTAGAAGTAGCAAAGCCAAAGCTGTAACTTGCTGCTGTGAACAAGATGGTTGTAATCATTGGCTGTCACCACAGCAACCTGACTCTATTCACTGTCTTGTGCTGAAGCATTGAGTGGCCTATCTAGAATCTAACACTTCAGTCTCAGTGCTACCATGAGGAGGAAATGTCAGCCACAACAGTGATGAGTTCCTGAATGGGTAACAGATATCCAGCTCAGTAACACTGCAGGATGAAATATAAGAACACATTTTGTGATTTAGCATGTGATTTTTTTTTTTTTTTAATTTTTTTATTTATGAGGGGTTATTGTTGCTGCCCCATAAGGAAAATTTTATGTGCCACATTTGGATTAACCTAGTGATAAAAGAAAATATTGAAATTTTTTTTTCTTGTATCTCTGTTAAACTTTACTTAAAAGTGTAATAAAAAGGTGCATGGGCTTCTTGTTCACCAAACCCAAAGGCATTATTTTCTGTCTTATAAAATTCTATTCAGAATTCACAGATTCTATTCAAGTGTGTCAGCATTATAAAGATTCCAGCATTGCTGTCTACTGTTCTGCTAGCTGTGGGCTGTATTAGCATATCTGGTGCTTAGGGAGTTGTCATTCACAAGAGACGTGTGGGCTGCACTGTTTGTCTAAGTGGAAAAATAGGGAACTTCTGAAGTGCATTGATTTGGTTCACTGTTATCTTAACTATTGTATATACAGTTTTCCTTTTCTCGAGGTGCTTATTCATACAACTCTTTGCAGCATTTAATTGCTCCCCTCACTCATTGGTTAGATAACTCTAGCAAAAAAGACATTTTTAAATGCAAGTTAAATATGCATGCAGCTAAGCAGTCATAAATGTATTTATGGACACTATTATTTAAAAACAGCAACAAACAGCTAACCATGTAAATGCATGAAAAGCTGTAGATGCTTGGTTTGTCCTGGCAAATGGAAGGAGAACAATGTCTGGAAAGCAAGTTGTGTCAGTTTTCCTTAAACAAATATAAAGCTTTTAACTTAAATCAGTTAAAGTTCCTTTTGCTCGGTTATCATTTTGTGGATTCTTAAATCATAGAATCATAGAGTGGCCTGGGTTGAAAAGGACCACAGTGATCATCCAGTTCCAACCCCCTGCTATGTGCAGGGTTGCCAACGCCAGACCAGGCTGCCCAGAGCCACATCCAGCCTGGCCTTGAATGCATCCAGGGGTGGGGTATCCACAACCTCTCTGGGACAACCTGTTCAAATGCATTGCCACTCTCTACGTGAAACACTTCCTCCTAGTATTTAACCTAAACCTCCCCTGTCTCAGTTTAGAACCGTTCCCCCTTGTCCTATCGCTATCCACCCTTGTGAACAGTCACACCCCCTCCTGTTTATATGCTCCCTTCAAATATTGGAAGGCCACAATGAGGCCTCCCCAGAGCCTTCTCTTTTCCAAGCTAAACAATCCCAGTTCCTTCAACTTTTTTCGTGGAAGAGGTGCTCCAGCCCTCTGATCATCTTAGTGGCCTTCCTCTGGACCGTTTCATGTTGCTGTTGTAATTGTATTAATTTGATACTCTTCTGCTTTTAGGCCTTTTAATGCCTCGGAACGTAAAGCAAACTCCTATGCTGTTGTAGACTGTGATCAAGCACGGAAAGAAGTCAGCGTCCGCACT